ATATATATATATACATATATATATATATATATATATATATATATATATATATATATAATATATATATTATATATATATATATATATATATATATATATATATATATATATATATATATATATATATATATATAATATATATATATATATATATATATATATATATATATATATATATATATATATATATATATACATATAAGGACAATGCCACTGGCCGGACTGATGCAAAAGCCATCGCCAAAGCCATGACGGACCGAGCGAGGAAAACACTCTCGGAGTCTGAAAAAAACAGCCTTTCTGCACAAAGGCGATAAACTTTCCCCAAATCTGTTTTTGTTCTCTCTCTATTTTCGTTTTTTTTCTCTCCTTCTCTCTCTGTCAATCGCCTTGGACTTTCTCGATACCCGGAAGTATGTTTTGCATCGCCAGGGAGAGAAGGAAAGGGCGACAGGAAGGGAGAGAAGGAAAAGGAGAGAAGGAAAGGGCGACAGAAAGGGAGAGAAGGAAAGGGCGACAGAAAGGGAGAGAAGGAAAGGGCGACGAAAAGGGAGAGAAGGAAAGGGCGACGGAAAGGGAGAGAAGGAAAGGGCGACAGAAAGGGAGAGAAGGAAAGGGCGACAGAAAGAGAGAGAAGAAAGGGGACAAACAGAAAGGGAGAGAAGGAAAGGGCGACAGAAAGAGAGAGAAAAGGGACAAGAAGGAAAGGGCGACAGAAAGGGAGAGAAGGAAAGGAGGACAGAAAGGGAGAGAAGTAAAGGGGGACAAAAAGGGAGAGAAGGAAAGGGCGACAGAAAGGGAGAGAAGGAAAGGGCGACGGAAAGGGAGAGAAGGAAAGGGCGACAGAAAGGGAGAGAAAGAAAGAGGGACAAAAAGGGCGACAGAAAGGGAGAGAAGGAAAGAGCGACAGAAAGGGAGAGAAAGAAAGAGGAACAGAAAGGGCGACATAAAGGGAGAGAAGGAAAGGGCGACAGAAAGGGAGAGAAGGAAAGGGCGACAGAAAGGAGAGAAGGAAAGGGCGACAGAAAGGGAGAGAAGGAAAGGGCGACAGAAGGGAGAAAGGAAGGGCGAGAAAAGGGAGATAAGGAAAGGGAGATAAGGAAAGGACGACATGAAGGGAGAGAAGGAAAGGGCGACGAAAAGGGAGAGAAGAAAAGGACGACAGAAAGGGAGAGAAGTAAAGAGGGACAGAAAGGGAGAGAAGGAAAGGGCGACTGAAAGGGAGAAAAGGAAAGGGCGACATAAAGGGAGAGAAGGAAAGGGCGACTAAAAGGGATAGAAGGAAAGGGCGACAGAAAGGGAGAGAAGGAAAGGGCGACAGAAAGGGAGAGAAGGAAAGGGCGACTGAAAGGGAGAGAAGGAAAGGGCGACAGAAAGGAAAGAGAAGGAAAGGGGACGAAACAGAAAGGGAGAGAAAGAAAGGGCGACAGGAAGGAAGAGAAGGAAAGGGCGACAGAAAGGGAGAGAAGGAAAGGGCGACAGAAAGGGAGAGAAGGAAAGGGCGACAGAAAGGGAGAGAAGGAAAGGGAGAGAAGGAAAGGGCGACAGAAAGGGAGAGAGGAACAGAAAGGGAGAGAAGGAAAGGGCGACAGAAAGGGAAGAAGGAAAGGGCGACAGAAAGGGGAGAGAAGGAGGGAGAGAAGGAAAGGGCGACAGAAAGGGAGAGAAGGAAAGGGAGAGAAGGAAAGGGCGACAGAAAGGTAGAGAAGGAAAGGGCGACATAAAGGAAGAGAAGGAAAGGGCGACAGAAAGGGAGAGAAGGAAAGGGCGACAGAAAGGGAGAGAAGGAAAGGGCGACAGAAAGGGAGAGAAGGAAAGGGCGACAGAAGGGAGAGATGGAAAGGGGACATAAATGGAGAGAAGGAAAGAGCGATAGAAAGGGAGAGAAGGAAAGGGCGACAGAAAGGGAGAGATGGAAAGGGCGACATAAATGGAGAGAAGGAAAGAGCGATAGAAAGGGAGAGAAGGAAAGGGCGACAGAAAGGGAGAGAAGGAAAGGGCGATAGAAAGGGAGAGAAGGAAAGGGCAACAGAAAGGGAGAGAAGGAAAGGGCGACAAAAAGGAAGAGAAAGAAAGGGCGACAGAAAGGGAGAGAAGGAAAGGGCGACAAGGGCGACGGAAAAGGGAGAGAAGGAAAGGGCGACAGAAAGGGCGGAGGGAGAAGGAAAGGGCGACAGAAAGGGAGAGAAGGAAAGGGCGACAGAAAGGGAGAGAAGGAAAGGGCGACAGAAAGGGAGAGAAGGAAAGGGCGACAGAAAGGGAGAGAAGGAAAGGGCGACAGAAAGGAGAGAAAGGAAAGGGCGACAGAAAGGGAGAGAGGAAAGGGCGACAGAAAGGGAGAGAGGGAAAGGGCGACAGAAAGGGAGAGAAGGAAAGGGCGACAGAAAGGGAGAGGGAAAACGGGATGGCCTCTGAATATTCATGGAAACGTCGCAAGTTTGCTCTATTTTTTTTCTGGACTAAAAATATAATTCTGCTGCCAATGCACACGCACACATATGGAGCTATAATGGCCCCTCTCTCTCTCTCTCTCTCTCTCTCTCTCTCTCGCTCTCTCTCTCTTCCTCTCTCTCTTCTCTCTCTCTCTCTCTCTCTCTCTCTCTCCTCTCTCTCTCTCTCTCGTCTCTCTCCTCTCTCTCTCTCTCTCTTCTCTCTCTCCTCTCTCTCTCTCTCTCTCTCTCTCTCTCCTCTCTCTCTCTTCTCTCTCTCTCTCTCTCTCTCTCTCTCTCTCTCTCTCTCTCTCTCTCTCTCTCTCTCTTCTCTCTCTCTCTCTCTCTTCTCTTCTCTTCTCTCCTCTTCTCTCTCTCTCATATATATATATATATATATATATATATATATATATATATATATATATATATATATATGTATATATATTATATATATATATATATATATATATATATAGATAGATAGATAGATAGATAGATAGATAGATAGATATAATAGATATAGATATAGATATATGTAAATGAATAAAAAAACATATATATATATATATATATATATATATATATATATATATATATATATATATATATATATATATATATATATAACCATCCACCAAAGGTAAACAGACACCACATGACCTCTCCCCCAAACCCCCCCACACCCCTCTTCTCCAACTGACCTGTGGCGTTGCATCCGTAAGCCTCTCCCCCCACCCACCCACCAACCCCCCCCCCACCAACCCCCCAACCCACCCCCTCTTCTCCAACTGACCTGTGGCGTTGCATCCGTAGAGCTCTCCCCCACCCACCACCAACCCCCCCCCCACCAACCCCCAACCCCCACCCCCTCTTCTCCAACTGACCTGTGGCGTTGCATCCGTAGAGCTCGACCCTCAGACAGATGGTGCGGGTGTGTGCTGCCACCGGGATGAAGCGAACCTGGCTGGCGATCATCGGAGGCGACAGGATGTTCTTCCCCCCCGCCCACCCACCCCCCTTCTCGAACTAACCTGCAGCGTTTCATCCTCAGAGCTCTCCCCCCACCCACGCCCACCCTCCAACCCACTCAACCTCCCAACCGCCCACCAACCCCCCCCCGCCACCAACCCAACCCAACCCTCCCAACCCCCCCCAACCCCTCCCACCAACCCCACCCCACATCCCTCTTCTCCAACTGACTGTGGCGTTGCATCCGTAGAGTCTCCCCCCCCAACCCACCAACCCACCCCCTCCTAACCCACCAACCCCACCCCACCAACCCCACCCCCACCAACCCCCACCCCACCCCCCTCTTCTCGAACTGACCTACAGCGTTTCATCCTCAGAGCTCTCCCCCCACCCACGCGCCACCACCCACCCTTCTCCAACTGACCTGTGGCGTTGCATCCGTAGAGCTCGACCCTCAGGCAGATGGTGCGGGTGTGTGCTGCCACCGGGATGAAGCGAACCTGGCTGGCGATCATCGGGGGCGACAGGATGTTCTTCCCCCCCGCCACCCCACCCCCCTTCTCGAACTAACCTGCAGCGTTTCATCCTCAGAGCTCTCCCCCCACCCCACGCCCACCCTCCCAACCCACCAACCCTCCTAACCGCCACCAACCCCCAACCCACCAACCACACCCACCCCTCCCCTCCCCCCCAAACTCCCCACCCCCCAGCCCCCCCACCCCCCCACTTCTCCAACTGACCTGTGGCGTTGCATCCGTAGAGCTCGACCCTCAGGCAGATGGTGCGGGTGTGGTGCTGCCACCGGGATGAAAGCGAACCTGGCTGGCGATCATCGGGGGCGACAGGATGTTCTTCCCCCCCGCCCACCCACCCCCTTTCTCGAACTAACCTGCAGCGTTTCATCCTCAGAGCTCTCCCCCACCCCACGCCCACCACCCACCCTTCTCCAACTGACCTGGTGGCGTTGCATCCGTAGAGCTCGACCCTCAGGCAGATGGTGCGGGTGTGTGCTGCCACCCGGGATGAAGCGAACCTGGCTGGCAATCATCGGGGGCGACAGGATGTTCTTCCCCCCGCCCACACCCACCCCCTTCTCGAACTAACCTGCAGCGTTTCATCCTCAGAGCTCTCCCCCCCCCACGCCCACCCTCCAACCCACCAACCCTCCTAACCGCCCACCAACCCCCAACCCACCAACCCACACCCACCTCCCTCCCCCCCACCTCCCCACCCCCCACGCCCCTCCACCCCCCACTTCTCCAACTGACCTTGGCGTTGCATCCGTAGAGCTCTCCCCCCACCCACCACCAACCCCCCACCCACCCCCACGCCCCACCCTCTTCTCCAACTGACCTGTGGCGTTGCATCCGTAGAGCTCTCCCACCCCTCCCCACCCCCCAACCCCACCAACCAAACCCCCACCAACCCCCACCCCCCTCTTCTCCAACTGACCTGTGGCGTTGCATCCGTAGAGCTCGACCCTCAGGCAGATGGTGCGGGTGTGTGCTGCCACCGGGATGAAGCGAACCTGGCTGGCGATCATCGGAGGCGACAAAATGTTCTTCTGCTCCAGGTAGGTGTTCACGTTGCCGGGGAGCGTCTGGAAGGAAGAAGGAAGGAGGGTTAAGGATAGAGGGTAAAGAAGAAGGGAGGAGGGTTAGGGATAGAGGGTAAGGGTGAAAAGACAACGCGGGTGGACGGGATGGGAGACGCGGAAGGGAAAAAAGGAAAATAGGTAGATAGATAGACGGAGATAGAAAGAAAGAGAGACAGAGAGGGAATGAAAGAGACAAAAAGAACAAAGAAAGATACACACATAGAATGAGACAAATAGAGAAAAAAGGGAGGCATACATAGAAAGAGACAAAGAGAAAAAAGAAAGAGATGCACATAAAAAGAGACAAAACAAAAAAAAGAAATATATACACATAGAAAGAGACATGGAGAAAAAAAAGACACACATAGAAAGAAACAAACAGAGAAAAGGAGATGCACATAGAAAGAAAAAAAAAAAAAAAAAAAAAAAAAAATACACATAGAAAGAGACAAACCGAGAAAGGGAGATACGCATAGAAAGAAACATATGACGCAGAGAATGAGTGAAACAGACAATACCATCATCAAATAGACACTATGTAGAAAGAGAAGAGAGAATCGACGAGGAAGCGGTACTGAAGAGTGTGAAGAGGAAGAGGAAGAAATTCTTAGAAAATATAAAATTAAAAAAAAAGGGATTAAATGACTCATCAAAATAAGAGTCGACAACCTAATTACTTATAATGTCATCCAAGAGCCTAAGAGAATTTGTGGAAATAGGAATATATATAAAAAGAATAATAAAAAATATGCGTAACTATAAGATCATCGCCAAGAGAATCACCAGATATCACTAAATTAAAAGTTAATCCCTTTCATATGAATTATCAAACTTATTCCTTTTCTTGTTGTTCTTTTTTTATTGTTATTGTTGTTGTCGTTGTTAGCATCATTAACATCATTAAGTATCCTCATCATTAACATCATTAAGTATCCTCATCATTAACATCATTAAGTATCCTCATCATTAACATCATTCATCCTCATCATCATTAAATCATCATTAAGTATCCTCATCATTAACATCATTAGCATCCTCATCATTAACATCATTAAGAATCCTCATCATTAACATCATTAAGTATCCTCATCATTAACATCATTAAGTATCCTCATCATTAACATCATTAAGCATCCTCATCATTAACATCATTAAGCATCCTCATCATTAACATCATTAAGCATCCTCATCATTAACATCATTAAATCCTCATCATTACATCCTTATCATTAACATCATTAACATAAGTATCTCATCATTATATTAAGTATCCTCATCACATCATCCTCATCATTATTACCTCATCATTAACAATCAATCATTAACATCATTATCCTCATCATTAACATCATTAACATAAGTATCCTCATCATCATCATCATACCTTTCCCACTCTCTCTGCTCTCTCCCTGGTGAACCAAGAAATATAAGAAACGCACATATAAAAAAAAAAATAAATAAATAATAATAATAAATAAATAAATAATAATAATAATAAATAAATAGATAAAATAAATAAAAATCTTTTACCCAAAGTCTTACGCAACCTTCCACAAAGCAAGAACCTTGATGTATTAAAATCATTTAGCGGGAGACACGAGTTAAAATTCCATTGCATAATACAGTGCTTTATCATGAGCCATGAGACCACAAAATCAGGGGTAAAATGTGTGCAGGTTAATGGGTATAAAGGAGAGAGAAAGACAGGGAGAGAGGGAGTGAAAGGATGTGGCGAGAAGGAAGAAGAATATAGGAAGAGGAAGGGAAATTATAGAGGGGCGAAACAGAAGGGAAGAGAGAAAGGGGGGGATAGGTAGGTAGGAGAGAGAGAGAGAGAGAGAGAGAGAGAGAGAGAGAGAGAGAGAGAGAGAGAGAGAGAGAGAGAGAGAGAGAGAGAGAGAGAGAGAGAGAGAGAGAGAGAGAGAGAAGAGAGAAAGAAAGAGAGAGAGAGAGAGGAGAGAGACAGACAGACAGACAGACAGACAGAGACATAGAAGGAGGGACAAAAAGAGGGGAAGGAGATGGATGAGAAAGACATAAAAGTGAAATTCTTCCTTCACGTCTTGTCATTTCGAGACAAAAACAGAAAATACAAATCGCCATTTTGCAAAACACAATATGAACCAAAAGTTTTAAAATCTGCAACAAAGCGAAATCCACGTGTCTTAAATTTGCAAAAACGTTGTGCATAATGCGAGAAGTTGCAACAGAGCACGAACAAAGGACAGCATAAATCTGTTATAAACTCACTCGAAATAGGACAGAAATTAAGAATTATACTATATCTGATAAAAAAAAAAGGATTATACTATATCTAATAAAAAAAAATAAAAAACTATATTTATAGGTTATGATTCCTATAATTTTGATCATCATTAATACTTTTATGATCTTCATCATCATCCTTTTTATTACCATCATTATCATTAACAACATTAATAACAATACTAATAGTAATTATGGCAGATCCATAATAGTTGAAAATCCTACAACTAATCTCCTTTTTCTGTCTGTCTAGTCTCTCTCTCTCTCTCTCTCTCTCTTCTCTCTCTCTCTCTCTCTCTCTCTCTCTCTCTCTCTCTCTCTCTCTCTCTCCTCTCTCTCTCTCTCTCTTCTCTCACTACTCTCTTTATCCACTCTCTTCATTCTATCACTCGCTCTCCCTCTCCTCTCTCCTTTCCTTTCTCTCTCCCTTTCCTTCTCTCTCTCTCTCTCTCTCTCTCTCTCTCTCTCTCTCTCTCTCTCTCTCTCTCTCTCTCTCTCTCTCTCCTCATCTCACTACCTATCTATCTATCTATCTATCTGTCTATCTTTCTGTCTGTCTATCTATCTATCTGTCTGTACCTCTTCTCCAACCCGCCCCCCTCCCTCCTTCCAACCTCTTCCCCTTCCCTTCCCCTCCTACCCCCTCCCCCCTCCCACCCACCCCCCCTCCACCCCTCCCTCTCAACTCGTGATGACAACTTGCAACATTCTGCAAAGTTCCGTCCTGTGTCGTGTCTTGGAGGTGTTGCAAGATTAACTGATAGCAAAGTTGGGGAGGAATGTCCTTAATCTTGCGCTATGGCGGGATTAAGGGAAGGGAAGGGGGGGGGGGGCCGGGACGCCGAGGCTGCCCTGAGAGGCGCGCTCCTCGCTGGGCTCGTGAGCGCAGGGGCCGGGAAGAGGAAGGGGGGGAGGGGGGAGGGAAGGGAAGGGAAGGGGGGAGGGATGGATGGAGGGAGGGGAGGTGGAGGGGGGAAGGGGAGTGGGGGAGGGAGGAAGAAGGGGAGTGGGAAGGGTGGATAGGGAGGGAGGGGAAGGGAGTGGGGGACGGGAGGGAGGGGAGTGGGAGGTGGCTAGGGAGGAAGGGGAGAAAGGGGGGAGGGTGGAGGAGGAAGGGCGGTGGGGGAGGGTGAATAGGGAGGGAGGGCAGGGGGACGGCTAGGGAGGGGAGGGGAGTGGGGAAGGGTGAGGGAGGGAGGAGTGGGGAGGGTGGATAGGGAGGGAGGGGAGTTGGGGGGAGGGTGACTAGGGAAGGAAGGAAGGGGGGAGGAGAGGCGAGTGGGGAGGAAGGGTGGCTAGGGAGGGAAAGTAGGAGAGAGGAGGAGAGAGAAGGGGAACGAGGGGAGGCAAAGGTGGGGAGGAGGGAGGAAAGGGGAGGTAAGGAAGAGAGGAGGAAGAAGACAGAGTGAAAGGGAAAGGGAAGGGGAAAGAGGAAGGAAAAAAGGAGAGGAGAAGAGGTGAGGAGGGGGGAACGGAGAGAGAAAAGGAAGGGAAAAAAATTAGGAAGGGGAGAAAGAAGGTGGGAGGGGAGGAAGGAGGCAGATAAAGCGGAGGAAGACTTGAAACCTGCAAGGGGGACAAGCAGGAGGGAAGAACGAGGAGCGGCCGGCGGGAGGAAGGGAGGGAGAGAGGAAAAATAGGTTTGAGAAATGGCAGGAATGAAGGAGGAAAGCGAAGTGAACAGAGGAGGAGGGAATTTCGAGTGAGTGAGGGCTGAAGGAGGGTGGGAAGAGGAGAGAGAGTGAGGAGTGTCTGTCTTTTTAAATCTTTTTATTTTTCTTTCCTTTTTCTCTGTGTCTCTTTCTTAAAGCTTTTTTCTTTATTCTCTGTCTATACATATCACACCCAAATCAGTCTAATCTATCCGTAAACTATACTTCATTTCTATTACTTCGTCTACATCTGTAGTCTATATTTATCTATCTATTTCAATATTCATTCCGAATATATCTACTGTGATGATTTATTTATCTCATCTATTCAGAAGAGAGAGAGAGAGAGAAGAGAGGAAGAGGAGGAGAGAGAGAGGAGAAGAGAGAGAGGAGAGAGAAGAGAGAGAGAGAGAGAGGAGAGAGAGAGAGAGAGAAGAGAGAGAGAGAGAGAGAGAGAGAGGAAAGAGAGGAGAGGAGAGAGAGAAAAGGAAAGGGAGAGCGAGTGATAGAATGAAAAGAGAATGGGAATAAGAAAGAGTATTTGTTAGCTACACATTTTGTTGTGTGTGTGTGTGTGTGTGTGGCGCATGTGTGTTGTATGTGTGCGTGCGTGTGATTCTATGCGTGTGTGTGTGTGTGTATGTGTGCGTGCGTGTGGATTCTGTGCGTGTGTGTGTGTGTGCGTGTGTGTGCGCATGTGTTCGTATGTGTGTGTCGTGTGTGTGAGTGTGTGTGTGTGTATGTGTGTGCGCGTGCATATGCGTGTGTGTGTGCGCCATCCCTCCTCAGCTGTCACTCATCAGGATTACCTCCCGCGAACAGCTTAATCACGATCCCGTTGGTTCTACGGCGAGAATATTAGGCCGCCATTAATTAATATTTTCCGCCCGTCATTTATCACGGGCGATTAAGGCGGACGCCGGACCCGCGCCCCCGAGGTGCGGGACCGAAGGACCGCCACATACACAACACAGCTCATAACATTTGCACGCACGCACACAACACACACACACACACACACACACCACACACACACAACACACACACACCATATATTATATATATATATATATATATATAATATAT